CGGCGATCCTTGAGGTCTTTTGCCATCTTCTGGGCATGGAACAGCGATCACTGGGGGTGTGGAGGGGGAGGTATTTGTGAATTTCCTGCCTTGTGCAGGGAGTTGGAATAGATGACCCTGGAGGTCCCTTCCAACTCTATCATTCTATATGCTGAATGATATTTCACTGATAATAATCTAGAATATATATATGTGTGTGTGTGTGTGTGTGTGTATGTATATGTATGTATATATGTATATATATGTATGTATATATATGTGTATATATATGTATATGTATGTATGTATATATATGTATGTATGTATGTATGTATGTATGTAGTGTAAAAATACCAGAATCTAACACACAAGGGCTAATGGACTTGGGGGGGAGGGGACCAGGTGAGAAGCCAACAGAAGACCAGATTGAACCCTGGGCCACCAGTCTGCCATTCCCCTGAAGAATGTATGATTGTTATTATTCTAAACAGAATAATAATGATTGACAATCTGCCTCAGGTTTTTACAATATACCCAAATCTACACCGCCCCCCCCAACACCCCCCCCCTCTGCCTGATGGGAGGGAGACCCTGTGCCAAAGTCTCTCTTCAGCTGCAAGTGAGAGGAATTAGGTTCCTTTGGAAAACAAGCAGATGGAGCTGACAGGCACCTAACAAGCCAATGATGGGGGGGGCGGTTATGGAGAAAGCTTTTCCAGCCATGAAACCTAATTATAAGCAGAAAGGGCCCTGCCGATGATCGTGCTGTGTGCAGACAAGACCTCAGGGCTGGATTACTTCAAGGGAGGAAAATATGCCTGATGTGTGAGGGGCAGCTGGAAAGGGAGGCAGGGAGGGTTTAAATGGAAGGCCGTGGGCAATGTGAAGTGTCTCGGGGGGGGGAGGGTTAGTGGCTGTGGATTAAGAAGGTCCCTGAATCTCCAGTGCACTGAGTGCGTCTCTCACATGTAGGTAGGGTTGTCAGGTCTCCTCCTCATCGCTTCGGCGGGGGGATTTGGGGGTGATCCAGGAGTGGGCAGGGATGTTGCACGGGGACGCTCTGGTATTTGGGTGAAACTCTATAGTTTTTCCCTCTCAGACAACAGAGTTTGCCCAAATACCAGAGCATATAAATTGCGCAGGGACGCTCTGCTATTTGGGTGAAACGCTATAGTTTTTCCCCTCTCAAACAACAGAGTTTGCCCAAATACCAGAGCATCCCCGCACAACATCCCTGATGCAATGATGTCACTTCCGATTGTCGTCATCACATCGGGGACATCGCACAGTGATGTCCCTGTTTAGGGGCGGGGTTTCCCCCACTGGCCAGCTGGTCCATGGCAGGGAGAAGCCCCTGAAATCGGGGGATCCCTCGCCCAGACCTGGGGGCTGGCAAGCCTACATATAGGGTTGCTGACTCCTGGTTGGGAAATACCTGGAGATTCTGGGGGGTGGAGCCTGGGGAGGGACTTCAGGAGGATACAGTCCCCCACAGTCCATACTCCAGGGCAGCCATTTTGTCTGGGAGAACTGAACTCTGTCGTCTGGAGGACAGTCGCTATTCTGGGAGATCTTCAGACTTCACCTGGAGGCTGACAGCCCTAGAGAGCCCATGCTGGCAAACACCTTTCTCTCCTAGAGATTTTGGACAGCCGGTGTCTGTGAAAAGCAGAGAATATTGACCTGGAGGACAGGAAAGCCCTCAACAGAAACAATTTCTGAAGGAGCAGAAGGATTGTGGGAGATCCCTGTTGAAGGATTGTGGGTGATTGCTGCTGAACTCAGGGAAAGGGCTCCGCTGGTTTGTTTGGAGGGCGGGACGGGCTGAGCAGTGCTCTTGAAGGGTCGAAAAAGCTGCGCTGAGGTTCCTCTGCTCAGAGCGACCAAACCAAGACACCAATGAGAATGTTCATGCTTTCCTCCCTCTCAGACAGAGCATCCAAGCGTGTGTGGAATGTCTGAATGTATCCCATTTAACTGACAATACTGTGGTTTTCAAGCATGTTAAAAATAAACATTTAAAACATGCAAGGTCATGCAAGAAACAAAGGCACTTGGCTGCCGATGACAGAGAGGGCAGACACAGTTGTATGTCTGCTTGTTTAATTCATTTATATTCCACCTCCCTCCCCAGTGGGGACCCAAAGCGGCTTAAGTTATTCCACTCTCCTCCATTTTATCCTCACCACAGCCC